ATGCACTTTAATCGTAGTAGGGCAGCTTGCCAATATCAATCTATCAAAGACTATCTGTATTCATTGGTATGTAAAGTGCGTACATTTCTTAAATACACTTAGTTGCAGCTGCCTTTCTACAATCGGGGAAAGTTCGACATCCGCTTTCTTTCACGTTTGATTTTTATTTATACAGAAAGTTCCAAACATTTTAAATATTAATTCGAAACATGAAGTTAATTTGCTTGTAATAAGTTTGAGAAAACTATTAAAATTAAAAAATTTTTCAAAAATAGTTACGAAATTATTTTATGAAAATTCTCTCCTTAGAAGAAAAATTAATTTCTTTAGTGATACATATACAATATCACTAATATGATCACATATATATCACAAAAAAAATTAATTTTTCTTCTAATTGTAAAGAGAGAACTTTCATAAAATAATTCTATAACTATTTTTTGAAGTATATATATAAATGTGTATATACGCATTAAGAACGACTTTACACATAATATTCAAAATTTTTATATTTTTAATACAGCTTTACAATTCGAAAAAATTTGATATTAATAAATTAATAAATATTTTCAAATTCAAAATTTACATTTTTTAATAATACGTTGTGATGTAATGATAACCTCAGAATAAAAACAACATTTTATTTTTTCTGAAATAAAATTTATATCGTGATACATTATATCATTTATTCAAATATATATTATTTATTATTACAAAACCATGCTTGATACTATAAAAAATATTACGAGATTAATAATATTAACACAAATAACTTGTAAGACAATCTATCAATATTCGCGTACATTTTAAAGTTTTATTTCCAGAATATCGTGAATAAGATATAGGTAAAATTAATAGAATAACATTATTCTCTATACTTGGTTGCACATCTTTTCAACATGCGGCATTTATTAAAATACTGTTTTTACTGTGACAGTTAGCACCACTATTCGACTTGATTTATATCCATACAAATGTCACATCTTCAAAAAAAAGAAAGAAAGAGAGATATCTGTATACCGGTCAAAGCGAATATTCGTTACGCGTCGCATGTGACAAAAAGCAAAAATATAAAATGTAAGCCTTGGAATTCGTGTGGCGTCTGATCATTCAACGCATTTTTAACACGCGAAATTAGAGACAGAAGGGCGAATTTCTTTTCGCGAGTACGTTACGATCGTCTTAAAAATCCTCGACCGGTTCCTAATTCTGGACACATATATCGTCCTGAAAACGAGAGATTTGTACAGAGAGCATCAATCCACGTGAAAACGGGGTCGCATCTGGTTATCGTGTATCTCTTTTTTCACGAGTCGTTCTTAATGCGTATACATATACACATTTACATTATTTTTGTAGTAGAGGTTGTTGCATGGGTTTCATGAAAAGTTTTGGAAATATCTCGTTAAAATTTCTAATCGTACACAGTGATAAAATTTGTTAATACGGTATTTATAATTACACAATGGAAAAAGAATTGAATGATGATATTCTTGCAAAATATATTGAATAAATTCTATCGAAAATCTTGATAAATTTACTTCAAGACATTCGTCCATGTGTTGGAATAAGGCCAGATGTTTAATTTGGAACGGGACAGTTCTTAGTAATGTACGGAAAATACACTTACGTATACTTTTAGTCGCAATTAGAAACATTTGAAAATGGTCATAGAAAATTGCTGACAACAGTTCTATGAACATATTTTCATTTATAAATATGCTTTTCCAATTCTTTTATATCATTACAATCACAAGATCGACATTTTTATTCTTGCTGTAATATAATAACCATAAAAAACTTTTAAAATTTTTGAAAATAATGTCATGCATCGTTGTGCGAGTTGATGAATGGCAAATATAAGAAACTGACACATTAATGTGCAAAATCAATATGGTTCTTTCCATTTCTTTTCCGTATCATATTAATCACATTTTTTAAATCAGGATTAATATGATAACAAAATGAAATTAATTGATCAAAAAATTAATCAATTTATCGTGATTTCTTTCGATATATTGAATTATGTCGTCTCAGAAATATTTTCAACGTGAAAATTGCTTACTTAACACAGTGTACATTCGGTTCAGGTTCGACGCATAAGCAGGTTTCACGAAATGACTCCAGTCTTTAAAATGAAAGATTGACATTTAAAAATAATAATTATCAAGAGACTGGCGTTATTCTTACTTATTACGTCATTCTATATACAAATATATCATATGCCATTATAATGACTACATATATAATTCATAAGTGATGTTTTTGTATATAGCACAATTCATAATTTTTTTGAAAAATATTTGTTAATGTTTTAAGCATTGTTTCACACATTAACAAAATTTAAAACTAAAAAGTAATATATCAAAATTACTCTATCAAAACTATTCTAATTGGTAGATTAATATTGATTTAATTACCATTATATTATAATTTATATATATAATTTTAAAGACAGTATAAAATTTAATTTTAAAGACAAGGATAAATTTATAATAGGTCATTTTACGTTAGATCCAGTTTTAATCATTGCAATATCATTAAACATTTCTATATTCGACATGTTAAAATATTCAGAGGCTTTTATATTTGACATCTCATAAATCGATAGCAATATCCTTTCTAACTCAAACACAAGTGTCCAGTTTCATCTGAAGACTATTATCGTAAGTGATGAGATAATTCAGAAAAGAGTTCTTATACGTACGTGATATCATAGTTTCGCGTGACCTCAGCTTACCAAAAATCGAAGAATTCTATTAGAAATTAAATCCACTTGACATTGTTCTATTTTAGATAAATCAATTGCATATGTAATTGTTCATTCTGACACTGAAGGATTATTGCATTATGTCTCTCTAATGGATTTATCAGTTATATCGAAATACTTAATTTTTTAAATTTAACATTTTAAAATAAAAGTTTTAAATATTACTTTATTATATAGTAATCTGATATAGCTAAAAACATAAAATAGAAATCAACTTTTACGTTAATTTATATTTTATATAAATTTGTTATATATGCATCCTTTTCCACGTTTTATTTATTAAGAATTAAAAAAAATAAATAAACTTTATGAGAAAATGTAAAGTTTTTGAAAGAAAAAACGATAAAAGTTCGAAAGTAGTAAATAATTGTAATTTTATATGATATACGATGTCTTATAAATTACATCAGTCATCATGGTTGGTAATTTATTATCGTCATTGTATTTGATATCAGTTAAAGAGCATGAAGGCATACTTATACTTTTTATCATATAATGAAGCGCACAGTTGTCTTGATGCGTCATTACGATCAATGCGATCGAAGGATTTGCTAAAAACGGTCATCGCTAGGTCATCGGGACAAATTCGCAATTAGTTAACCCAGATCAGTCAATATAGGTAACTTGCACACGCAAGGACATTGTCCTGAGAAGGAAAGAATCGATTTTTGTGCAGGCTTGACAAAAAATTGCGAAAATACAGGCGAGTCACATGCAATATAAACAACCGAATACAGTCACACTCTGATGTGCAACAAAGAAAGTGGGTTTGTGGGGTGATTCATCAACCTATTATTTTTCTGCACGCGACACTACTTATAGTATCAATTATAAACTTCCTTTTACGAATTCTTTAGAACTTTATGTGTATGTAATGGTTTCATAACGAATAAAAAGAACATGATTCAAAATTAGATCAACATTAAATGTTGTTAGCATTTTAAGCATTCATTATTAATATGTCATTATTTATTTTCCATTTATAATTTAAAAACGGATTATATATAATCATATTTATAAATATGATTAATTTTATCTTTATCCTTTAACCCTCTTATGATTTTTTTCTAAACCGTAAATATATAATTTTAATATCAAAAGAGTGATTAAATTTTATATATGTATCTATTTTTTATCTTTGAACTCATTACATGCATATGCAAAATAGTATGACAAGAAAATCTTATCTAACTAAACATAATAATTCGTTATATAAGTGTACAATTCTGTAAGGCAAATCAAGTTGATCATAATGAAAAATTGAAATCTTATGAGCTAGTTTAATGTTTCGTAAAAAAGAGAAAGAGAGAGAAGGAAACAAGAGAGGAAAGCAGAAAAGTATTTCTACGACAAGCAAGGTCTTTGCAAGGATTCGCGAGGTCATTTACATGACGCGATTACTTATATATTGCTATGAAAGAGCGATTGCGTTCTCTTTTCAACAGGTTCCTACCTTCAACGTGACCGTGGCGGGACGCGGTTATTTTTGATTTTTCAGAACATTTGCCTCGGGCAAAGAAAAATAATGTTTCAGATACGTGCCGCGTGCACTGCCAATATTATTTTTAAGTCTGATTATTGCGTGCAGTTTGACGCATTCAGAATTTACGTCACGAAACCACTTATTTTTTTGTTGTTCGCAAAAAATTACAAAATATTATGAGTAATTATGAGGTAAAAAAGAATATTAAGCTTTTTCGGACAATTAGTCATTCACTTTTATATTTGTATATTATATTCTTTATAAATAATAAACAATAAATATAAATAATTTAGAAATATACTACTTTTATGATAAAAATAAAAAATATAACTAAGAAATTCTTGTTTACATTGTAAATTTCGAGGAAAATTGAAATATCTCAACATATCAGATATAAATGTTGAAATATCACTACACAATCTCTCTCACTCCCCCCCCTCCCTCCCCCCTCTCTTTCTGTCTTTCACTGTTTATCATGTAGGATTCTTATCATCTCATTTATTTTTATGAAAAAAGTAAGAATAATCGCTCAAGAGTTATCATTAAATTATAATAAAAGAGAAAACAATTTATTATCTTTAATAACTTAAATATTAAGAAATAATTTTAATAACATAAAAATATCATGTAATTATGATATTGTGGCATAACTAATGGCTTGTGTCATTGCATATATGCATATATATATTTAATGGATCTTTATAGTTGAATACATGTCTGTTGAATAATATATATTAAAAGATGTACCTCTTGAGTAAGTTCCGCTGCACTAACTGGTGATGCAGGGCTTTGCGCAGAAGTTGGTGGATCAGGAGATGTCATATTCCTAGTTGTATTTGTGGAAACAGGTACACTAGGTCCTGCTAATGATGTATCTGTGTTAGACTCTTCAACATTTAATAGATAAGCTTGTATAGCATTCAGACCAGAATTCATTCTATTGTATCTGCCTAATGAATTCAGTTCTTCAAACAAATCCCTTTGATAGTTGAGAAGCATAGAATCTGGATTCTTTGGGTGCACAAACATCGGACGATGGATAATTGTGTGATCCGTGTGCCATCCAGATCCATTGTTGAGATCCAAAGATCCCACATTGATGGTTTGAATATCCAGACCTAGATAAGATTCTGGATCTACACGCAGTAAGGAGAGCAGCAAAGCTAGTTGCAGCAACTCCTCCCGGTACAACTTCTTTATGCACAACATGTTGCCGACTTATTCCGACTTATACAGATAAAAACTAAGTCTATAAGTTCTGACGTGTTGTCACAGTAGCTCGCTGTTTTTGTCAAGCACAAACAATAAGTTTGACATCATGAGAAAATGACGTGCCAGCGCAAAATATTCATTGACATTGCATGCAAATGATGCAAAGATATCCTCACGAAAATAAAGAGTCTCTTGGAGTCTCTGACAAAACACGTTCACGCGATGAAACACATTTCGAATAATTCTTGAATTCAATTTTTAGGTTAGAGCACACACTGCACGTTCAGCCGCAGTTTGTAATTTATGCGAAACGTCGGCAGCGCGAACCGTCGGAAACGCGACTCGTCGCTCGGAGCGTCAGAGTGGAAATAAAAGATCCGGGAGTTTTCCGTCGGGACAGGGTATAGGTCAGTTACACGAGAATAGTACCGAAATAACCTCAAAACCGCGCACGAGTCACATCAAGCCACGATGCGGCCGCGCGCATCTCCACGCATGCTTCGCCGATCTCCTTTGACAGGCGAACACTGTACCTCCGTGCCGTTAACGGCGGATTCAGACACTATCGGTGCCGACAGACAGCGAAGTGGATCGAAACGTCTATACACACGCGCGAATCAGCTGAGATCGCGAGTGAGACGGCACATTGACAGATTCCTGTAACACGTATACATACAGCGGTGCACAAAAAAACACGTTCGAATCGTCGTTCAAAACAAATTTACACGCGACTTACGGTCGACGGTAATTTATGCGGTTCACTCTTTTACGCCATAACGCTGGCTGATAGTCACGCGTGGCGATGAGACACTTTGCCGTACAATACTTTTACGCGACACTACGTACGCGGAGAAACCGACCGAGCGAACGTCGCGCACCTTGCCGGGAGAGATCGCTCGCGATATGTGACTCAGCAATCGTGCTCCGGCGACATCGCGCATTCACCAGGGCCGCGCCGACACCGCAAATTTCCCCGCATGTTTCCTTTGATAGCACGCCAATCCGCGCGACTCACTCACAGCTCGCCTGTTGATTATCAAATTATCCTTATTTTGCGTGTTTTTGTTGCTTATTTATTGTGAGACGATAGCAAACCGCAGCGGTCAACTCGTTATCGTTCAGTTTGACGATAAATATTTTTGTAACTACGAATTTTGCGTCGTACAATAACTTAAAGTATAAAAAAGTGAAAATTAGTATCGTGATTGGAAAGAACTAAAAGTTAAAAGGATTAAAAGGAATTTGTTATTAAAATCAAACACATCATGCATGTTTACGCATGATTAGTAATGTAAAGAGCTACAAAAAAACATGTAGTTTCGTGCATATAGTTTGGCTAGTAGTTTAGGTAAATTTAAATTTTGTTTTTGACCCATTGTAATATAAGCAGAACTGGCTTGTATAAAAATGCAAAATCATGGCATTGATAATGAGTCTCAACAGAGGATAATGATTAATACTGCGCCGCGATATTTACGTCTATATGTTTATATAACACAGTGACTTTTTATTACATTTCGAGTATATTTATTTGCAACAAATTTTTTGCACATTATTATGTAATAATGTGAATTTAAAGCATGTTGTTAAATTTGTTTCTGTAATATATTTTTCAAAAGTTTACATTTAACTGTTCTTTTTCAGGAATTCAAATCGGAGTAATTATTTATTATTAATAATCAAATAAGAAAAACTTATCTTATTCTGAAATTAACGTTCAGTAAAGTTCACTTTGACAGAATTTGTTGTTTAAAATTTAATTTCAAAATTTGTCAGTAAAATCTATCTTCTTCAATATTGGAGATAATTTATTTTAGAATTTTTTAAAGAATACATTCTTGAAGTTTAATGCAAATTTTTTACCATCCATGGATTATGCGGGCACGTGTAGGTCTTTGCTTATAGTTCGATTAAAATATACATATCTATATATGGAATGTATTACGATATAGAATGCAAGCTAGCTCCAACGAATAGACTACACGTGCGCTGTTTTTATACGTTGCTACATACGACTTCGATTCCTTCGCAAGACACTGCCGTTGGCCTGATTACAAGCTATAAAACAAAATGATGCAAAGCTCAGTCTCTTTGTAACTATGTATAAGTATATATATATATTTACAACATAACGTTTGCATCATCTTCCGATCGTATGAAAAATGGCTGACTAATCTTTTTTATGTTTTTTTATAAGTCATCTTTATATCTCTCAGGCAGGGCAGGATATGTTCGTTACAAATATGTTATTATCAACTGAAAGTCACTTGATCAATCATCTAACACTATAACTCATTCTGAGTAAATGTGTATAACGCACTTACGATGTAATTTCAATCTTCCGTGCAGCAATTTACTTTCTCCGCTCCTGTTTTTAGATGTAATACATTCAAAGAAGTAATTAGTTATTTTATGGAATAGTTTCACGTCATTCTTACATTCAATTAAGATTAATAATGCAGTTTTCGAGAAGAATCTGAAAACTATATTTATGGAAAGAACAGTTCGTCTGTCTTTTCGCAATAATTTATAAAACTAATCTAACGGAGAAAATTTTCAAATTTTTTTGACAAATTCACGTGCATTCGATTGAAAGATTCGATCTTTGATAACGATCACTCATTGTCTTTCCGTTTGATATGTCGAAGTTGCGACATCCGCGACCGTATTTATGATAAAGAACTTTGACCTGTATCACGTGTTCAACTACGCGTGGCGTCGTTACCATATTTATTCATGTGCTTTCTCGAGTGATATATATGTATGTGTGTGTATATTTACTATACGCAGATTTACTCATTTACGTGTGTCGCGTATACATTTGTGTCTCACTATACTCTCACCTGAAACACGACCTTCGTTGATGATGGCTCGTTGCTCGGTGAGAACATTTGCGGTCAGACATTCGTCACTGCTGTTTTGCACGCGTTATCGTAAATTTGTCAGTCGGCTAATACCGTCACCATATTGCAATCGGAAACGTCACTGTGGTATCGCGTCGTCATCGACAATTTTGTTTATTTATAATCATCGCCGCGATCTCTTCGCATTTCGGCAAAACAAATTTCATACAGTATCACTTTGATGTCGAAATTGCATTTATTAAATGCATTGACACCGATTTGTTTCTTTTAATATTTATTGTTCAAGATTTTACTCCAAATTATTTGTCCACGAATTTATTCGAATTCTTTATGTTATATTAGTTTCAACATTATTTTAATCTACTACATACGAAGGTCGCAGAAAATTAAAAAATCATTAGCTTGTTTTTACGGATAACAATTTTAACGACGCGCACTTAAAGCTACCAATGACGGTGTGACCGTCATTGTATTTCATTGTCGTTCTTCAGTTAGCGAACACGTGGCTGTAAGTGAGTGAACGCAACAGTTGAGAATGTAATAATTGCTTACGTTTAGCGTGTATTTTTAGATCTGTTAAATTCGGTTTTCCAAAATCAGTTATCGAATTATTATGTTCACTAAATGTATGTAATTCATTTATATTTATATTTATATTTATGTAGGCTCTTAATAAAGCGAGTTTTCATCGCAATTATTAATTTACTTGCAAATGTAAATTAAATTACTTCCGAATGCATTCAAGCATTTTATCATTTATGACTAATATTTACAGAAAAAAAATACAATTTTGTTTTATTGCATATTTTGTATAATTATATTCGTCAGTAATCTTTTTCGCGAATCAGGATTATTGATGGAAATACACGTTCGGCGTATTTTAAACATATAATATATTCATTTATATGCTTGTACATATCTCCATGTCCTTTGATACAACAAAATATCTATGACAACAATACAGTTGGGAACGGTATACAATATATTGTTATATCGGTATATATAGATGTAAGACAGCCCCGTTTTCGTAAGACGTAATCGTGTGATGCATAAAATATGTATTTTTACACATAGGTATATATTCTTGATTACTTTGGTATCCAGTCTTTCGATATAGCATTTTTTTTTTCGTTTCGTCCCGCATACAATGGGTTTGATATAATGAAATTCTTAATTAAAAATAAAATCGACGTTATCCGTAGACGTATTATTCGCTTTGATAAATTATAGATATAGATCCATTTATACTAGGCTAATGAATCTTCTCTCTCTCTCTCTCTCTCTCTCTCTCTCTCCCTCTTTCTCTCCCTCCCTCCCTCTTTTTCTCTGACCAGATAACTATACGTAAAAAATAAAATATGTATTTTGTTTCGTAAAGATTAGTTTTGGATTTAAATTCGCAATTGCGTTTTGATCGATGAATACACAAGTAACGAAAGTATTATGTATGCACTTACACGAGTACTTTCGAATGTTGTAAGAACGTTATAAAATAGGCCAATCAGTTCGTATCTTTCGCCCAGGTCGGTAAGCAGGCGCTTCCCGTTCCAGGGCGATTATCGTTCGTTAACTCTTTAAGAGAGAATATCCGTTAGTGAAAAAATATGTTATTTACACGTAAGGTATCTAATTGTGCGTCGATTCATTAATTCGCCGTTTGGAGTGTATCAAAATCTATTTAATGGGACGATGAAATGATTCATTTTGTTGTGGTTATTTACAAATTTTTCTCCACGGAGAATTGTATTCGTATGTGTAGATATATGAATATGTGCGTGTCTCAGTTTGCTTATGGAACTGTAAATGCGATAAACGCTGAAAATTAACGCCGTTATATTGATCCAATAAGAAAGATGCTAATGAGTAGATATTAAGTATTGAAAGAGAAGCACATTTCGTAGTGGGCATCAATAATAGCAAGCATTAATGGCAGTATAAGATTCATAGCAAAAGAATATTGAAATACTCTGTCGTGTCCTTATGTCGAGTGTGACGAGTAGTAATGTGTTTTATTTAACTAACGAGTATTTGAATTTTTATTGGATTACAAGGACACGTAAATTTAAGCTTTGATTAACTATTAAGCTTTGACGAATGAAAAATAGTTGAAAAATTAAAGTAGAGAGTATATATGAATATTTGTGGTAGTTTGACGTAGTTCTTGATGGACTAAGAATTTGTATCGCAATCGACTTTGCTTTCCCTGTACAAATATTAGACACTTTGCAGACCTTCGCGTCTTTGTATTCGTATGATCAATTTTATACAATAGGTACCTAGGTTTTTAATCTCGAAATGTTAAATTAATCTACGTTATTAAAGAGCAATTAACATATGTTAAATATAATATAATTGAGATATAATGTCGATATTTCGCTATATCTCGATGTTTATTGTCCAGTCGTTTAACGATCGGGAAACGGTAAACGAATTAACACTAAAATATAACTCATATTTAATTACTTCAAGTGTCAATTGCATTGTGTAATTTACACACGCGTTATGCTCGGCTTCAAATTAGAGTTCACAATTGTTAATTAATATTTTTCGGAATCAAGCACAATGCCGAAAATAACATTAAAGAGATCCTAGATAAGTTTAGCGTTAATATCGATGCGTCAGCATCCAGATCTTTTGTAAAAGCAGTCGATCAAACGCAGCACACGTCTCTCTTATGATAATACATGCACACCATATATAAAGCGTTGTTCAGATTATATAAATTTATTAACTTTTTCATAATAAAATATCCAGTTCTCTATTTATGCTACTTCGCATGGAGAACGATCAACTCCACGCGAAATGTATCCTGCGCCTTCAGCAATTTCTAACAGACACCAATACGCGACACACACGGTACATCAATTCTTTTTTTCCTTTACAATTAATTTAACATATATCCATCTGGCTCGCGGCCAAGTTTCTTTTTAATACCATCTTGTCTCGATTTTCTCTGGACGGTGCTTGTGAGACACAGACACAGACCCGAGCAATTCAGCGTATCACACCTCTTTGCCGTACATTGATATGCTACTTTAACACGTGGAACGATCGCTCGTACAGTCATGATAATTCGATTACCTCTATAAATACCTCGTAGCGCAAGTTTTACACACAGACCTTCGCACTTCGGGCCATAAGTGCGGTGCAATCAGCGTTCTCTCCGATAAAGCCGCAAGTTCGACTCTTCCTGTTTAAGTGATAACTTACTGGATGGTTCAGGAATGGGGGGGCTTGGACATCACGTGGAGATGATTATCATCACTCCTTGTTATAATAAAGTATAGTAAACTCGGAATACTAAAGCTTTTCGATTAGGCGTACGTCGTTAGCCCTCATTTGCCGAATGTCGGGTCAACGACTACCCTAGGAACAACGATGTCTTTGCTTTTACTATTTTTTTTTTTTTTTTTTTTACACTTACAGTGATCCGATCGGCACGCACTGCGTGCACGTTAAATAAATACTTTCGAAAGTGCGTATAAATCGGTATATAATGCGTTACATTATAAACAATTCGGCTTTATCTGCGTTCGTTTAAGGATCCTCCCCGGCGAGTGGACTATGATAATGAGTTTTGTACAGACTAGAAGTATTTTTATCAAGGGAAACGTTTTATCCTCGCTTAAGGATTGTCGATTTTTTAAATTTTATGCTTTGCGGGAACGATCTCTCAACGAACATGACGGAAATGGGTGGCTTTTGATCTGCAAATATATACCTAGATGATGGATGATTTTTTTGTCCCTCCAAGTAGTGTCAGAGCTATACTTTTGTAGGCTGTATCACGTATTCCTTAAGAGTATTATGTATAAATAAGAAAGGTAGAAAAATCAGCCATAATGACATGATGGCTGAATGTACAATTCGGCTCATTTTTGTCCCATTTCCAACGGGCAAGGGTTAACTCGTATCATTTTTTGAAGTATTCAACGTGAAGTACTTCACGAGCCAATCATTCACGCTTTTCGCATTTATTTTTACCCAGTGGATGTTGAACTTCACTATTTCTAAGCTTTGTTGCAAGGTGCGATCACCGCTGCGTAGATCGTGTTGTTTGAAGAACTCCGAGACCTGACCCGAGAAAAAATTACAAAGTGATTTAATGATTGCGGCACACTTTAAGATAATTTTAATATTATCCCGAGAAAAAATGGTATAATATGATCAGATGTAAATATATAATAATTAGTTATGAAAAGATCTGATAACATAATGATTACACGTATATATGTATATTTACATCTGACCAGTTATACCATTTTTTCTCGGGATAATATAACTTTAAAAAAATCAAGCGCGGTCTGAGAAATTACAAAACATGACATTTCACTTACTTCGCTATAGTCATATTCCGTAATGAAGTAGTCGGGAACGACGCTGAGTATAAGGTCGCTTATCGAGAGCGATTCGTTCATATACAAGATCTCGATTTGCGGCCAATAGGCTTTAATATGTCGCCAAGCGAGGTAGTGTCCGTGTGTATTGGCAGCGACGGACGCTATGACAGTGTTAACGTCCTGCGCCTTGATCAGATCTCGGTTGAGCGAGAAGCGGAGATAACGTTTAAGTAGCCAAGGATCCATCGCCGCGCCTAGGGCTTGCAACATTACCAGCTTCTCACTTTGGATTTGCGTCTTAAGATAAACGTTCCAGCAATGAAGCCATTCGGTCTCCTCCCCAAATTTTACACCTATAAATTACCAATTTTTACTGCGAGAGTTACTTCACGCGTTTCTAATTATACAACTATATTAATATTTAATATAAATTTCTATTTACCTGCCATGTAAACGATATTCCGTATATCAGGCGCGATGCGTTTGTTTTTCGATATCCAGTCTTGGAAAAGATTCTTTGCGGGCTTCACCACTTCAGTCATTTCTAGCTCGATGGCCGATTTCAATACCGTGGTTCTTAACAACCTGCGTTGAGACAACAAAGGGTTTAGAATAATGTTTTATTCAGAGCGTCGGGCATCTAATCAAGCGTAAGCAAAATGCGCTCAAATACTATACTAACTTTTTCAAGTGCGTTCCTTCATCTTTCCAGCCGACGTATTTCGTAATCGGATTCAACAACTTCTTGAAAAATATGATATACCTCTTATACGCTTCACTCTCGCCTAGTCTTTTCTTCCAAAGATTTAGGTAGCGCAACGCAGTTTCCCACGGCGCGTGATCTCTTTCGTTGATAAGATAAAGCGCAAGATCCAATGGGATCGAAGCGTCCAGCTCGCCCGCGTCGCACAGCGAAAATACATCGTCAACAAGATTCGCTCGATCTGCCGAACTGAACTTGGTGTGATTACTCTTCAAAGTTTTAATGATCGAGACCCACATCTCGTTCGGGTAATTAACTCGATAAAAGCCAGTTTGATTGACGTTGCATTTGATGTATTCAACGTCGGTCGATATTTCGAAAGTCGCTAAATAAAACATATGTCTGTCTTAATTTCTTAGAGTGCGCAAAAAATATATGGCAAACGTTTTGTATACAAAATAGGTACGCAAAAAAATTTCAATATAATTATCCTTGTGTGTTACCATTGGTCATATTCATCCACACCTCGATGTTGCCCGGAGGTTCGTGTGTGTAGCAGTTCAGCGGGATGTACCACTTATAGTTGAAGGGTGATTTGGACTGCGAAATGTTCGCTCCTTTTTCGCGCGGTGAAAGGAGGAATCTCTTTTGCGTCGCTGTGACAGTTTCGCCATCACGGATGATGGTCACAAGTGGAAAGCCCGTTTGTTGAGTCCAAGTATTCATTATTGTCTGCGAATATTTTTCAATTTCATTAAGTAAGTACGTGTGCAATAAAAAAATGTGCGGAGCGATTTTTTTCCCCAGATATTATACTCACTTTTATGTCGAGCTCATTAACAAGAGATGAATTTTTTGTGTGCTTTGTGAAAACCGACCACAGATCGTTGGTCTCTGTGTTTCCATATGCATGAGAATTCAGATAGTCGTTTAATCCGCGCTTAAAAACACTCTCGCACAAAACTCCTTCGAGCATATAAAGGATGGATGCGCCTTTGAAATAGCTAACCGTATCGAATATGCTTTCTATCTCCATGGGGTTTGCAACGGGTACGCTTATTGGATGACTGTTAGCTAGGGCGTCGAGCTCGAGTGCTCGTTGTGTTTTGTGCAAAATGAATAAATTCATCATGCCCCACTCGGGCGAGATGTGATTGACGCCTTTGTACTCAAAGAAAGTCGCGGCTCCTTCGTTCAGCCAGATATCGTTCCACCATTTCATCGTGACGAGATTACCGAACCATTGGTGAGCCAGTTCGTGAGCCATGAGAACGGCTACGTATTCTTGTATTTCGGTAGATGTTTCTATCGGATCATACATTAAGTATATTTCTCGAAAAGCGATTAGGCCCCAGTTTTCCATAGCAGCAGGCGCAAAGTCGGGAATTGCTATCAGATCTAACAATACATATTGAAAATAGTGATAATAACGATAGTAAATCTGGGAAAAAGAGCAATAAAATTAATAATAATATAATAAATTACGTAATTGTTTTTAACAATAATAATAATTTTTGAATAATTAGTTTATTTAACATGCTTAGAAAAATAAAAAAATCTGTTTAATAAATGAAAGGAGCATGTGTCTTATAAAATACAATAACATTATTGAATATAGAGAGTTTTTAAGTAACTATTGCTTAGAGCTTAAAAAATATATACCTTGTTTTGGCAAAGGGTAAGGTATGCCGAAGAAAGATTCAAAGTAATTCATAATATTAACAGCAGTGGTCAGAGAATAGTTCGTTTGTGGAAGCATGTGCGCTGGAGCATACACACTCACAGACGTATTTCTCTCTGTCAGTTCGAAGTATCTGTTAAAATCGCACACCACAAAGGCCACCAGATACGTCGACATCTCTACGGACTCTTGAAAGTCATCGCGTAACTGAGAAATAACATTATTCTATATCAGGTTGATGCAAATACAGTTATTAGCAGGCAATATCATAATTGCAATAATATGATCCGTAATGCCATGTTTGCAATGCAGATAATAATTTTGTGATTGATGGAGTGGAAAAATTAATAAGTGATGAGACTAATATGCGACGCATTATTGATGATGACTAATTGCGATGTTGCGCGTTGAATCACGTTGTTATGTATTAAAAGCGCATACTTACGAGATTTGTACCCAGATAAAATCCAGCTTCTTCGGTGTTTACTATAGGCATGTTGCATAATGAAATGTGAAATCTGTCCCTGTATATCGATATTTTAAATTTGGCTTTAAATTGCGGCTCGTCGAAGCATGGAAAAGCCATGCGCGCATACGTCGGCTCGAAGAGAGTCGTAGCCAAATATCTAGAGGTTGAAAAAAACAACAAAGAGTTTAAATTTCTTCTGGTCATGGCTAAAGCAGCATAATTTCTTGCCACAAAAAAATGATTATAGTTTTGAAATTACTTTTGATCTCCATCGGGGGTGACGTAGGTGCTGAAGTAAAACCCTTTAAGTTCAGTATTATTTAGCGTCGAGTTGAAACTCAGAAATAGCGTGTAGTTCTGCTTTCTTCGAAATTTCTCCTCCAATTCTAGATACAATTGTTCACGTTTCGGATACTCGAGTAACTTTGCGATCTTCAATTCTTCGTAACCTTCTTTGACTATCTAAAGTTTGTTATCAAATATTAAAACGGAAAGGGACGATATGTAAAATTTGGTCGTACGATCGTAACTCTTAAATATTAAGTACTTACTTGTTCCTTTATTGTCAAATTTTTACTGTGGAAGACGATAAATTTGGTCTCTTCATCGACATAAAATTCGATTGTTACACGTCCTATAAAAATAAACCGTGAATTTATTAAACATAACAGAGAGGATATATTTCTGCGTTTAAACGTAAATTTTTACACTCTTACCTCTAAAATCTAAGGTGGTAAGATTTGGATGCATGGTAATATTGTATCTAGTAGGATGTGCGAATGAAGGTAACCTTATGTTATCCCATGGAAATAACTGCAAGATTTCACATTGTATTCGATGATCTGAGTATGGTATCTTGAGCAAGGTATTATAAAATATAGATAACTATAGTAAATAGATGCTTATTGATTAATTGACTGATACACCTACTGATTGATTTTCCGTTATACTATACTATACATATGTTTGCCTCATTCTAGTTGTAAATATTTTATCATGAATGCAATCAAAAGCTATTCTTAATCTATTTCTTAATCTACATTTTCGCTTAAACAAATAGAGAATTTTCTTGATTTTTGCAATAATATTAAACAGTTTTAACAATACATAATATATTATAAGAGAATTATAAGATAATAATAATTATTATTATTATAAGAGAATTTATGAGAACGTCCGATTTAAATCATATAAAAAATTTCTAAAATAAACGAGACGCTCAATTTTTTATGTCAATTTTAAATATTATTAATATTATTAATATTGTTATATTATAATGCCTCTGTGCATACCTCTCCGTTCTCCATTCGAGGCATGGCGTCCTTTTCATCATCTATACTTTTACTGAGCTCGTCTTCAGAACAAGTGCAGCCTAAAAAAATAAATAATATATATGTAATATAAAAATGGTAATTTTTATATGTTTGAGATTAAGTATTGACGTTGAGAATATCGATATAGTGTTAAAACGGTTGACATTTAAATACCATTTCGTAAAGGCGCCAGGGCGATGATGAGAGATGTAATAAGAAGCACCAAGCAACAGACGCAAAGCACGCAATAAGTCTTCCTTTCAGAACATCTAACGACTTCATTGGCGCGTTCGTAAAAATTACGTCTGTGCAATCCGGCACTGCTATCTCCTGAAACAAAGAATTTTTTGTAAAAAGCTTCGATTTAACAGAATTAAAATTTTTGCATCATTTATGGTCAATTATTCAACAACAGATTACAATAAAATAATTTTACAAGTAGATTTTTATAATATATAATTTAATTAACATATTTTTTTATAACTTTTATGTTGGTCGCATTTTGTTTTTACACTTAGCAGATAGCTAATACGAAAGAAAAAATAAATAATAGAATAGTTTTTGTTTTTAGTTATTTTACGCTATAGTTCTATATATATTTTATATTTAAAAGATAATTTTTATTTGTGTAGCGTTCGGTTTAAATTGTTTTAAGTATATTTAAAGTCACTGCAAAAGTAATACTTTGACGCGTGTACGGTATTTGCTAGTCTCATGGCTACACTCTTGACCTGAATTTCAAACTGCTGCATGATCGTGTCTAATAGCACTGGAAATGTACGACGGTTTGCATTCTTAACGTCTCATTCTTATTTATATTTAAGATAACCGAATAGAATGTTTCAACGTCATAAAAGTGAGCTCACATTATTTTCAAAGTCAGCGACTCGTATTACAGTGATATGTTTACTTTGTAAATATATATTTCATTACGCGAGATCACACACAATGCAATCATCGAACATTATCAACGTGTCACCCGTCTATTTCCGCTATTGATAAACAAATTTCAATAACAAAAGCTGTCAGGCGAGAAGTGGCGATATGAGCGCGTGGGCGAGAACGAGATGTATCGCGCTTTAATTCGAAAGATCAGAGGAAGCTTTCCTCTTATTGATCGCACGCACGTGCTTCGTGTATAGTCTATTCGCAGTCCGGAGGGTTGTAAGTGGGCCATCTGGTTGAGGTATTCTTATGGAAAAGGAATTGTTCAAGTGTAGCAAACGCGCGTCAAAAGCGCGTCATATCGAAGAGAGCGTCGATGACTCGTTAAAGGCACGCGTTGCGCATTCTAATTTTCAACCGGCCATCTGGATAGGTAGATCTCACCTGTCAGAAAAGCAACATCATCCACATCCTGCTCGCTCATCGCGAACCGATTCGGCGGTCTCCGATGAACGACTTCTTTTACCTCACCGTCTTTCGAGGCATAGGCGACTTTTATAAGCGGCTCTCTCTGTTCAGCCAGTATTCGTGTGGGTATTCAATCGTCGCCTCGTAGCTTCTCCCTTGAGCAGGCTGTCGCCGCTGAATTCTCGCCTCGTGCCTCAAGGTTAAGGACTCGACGAGAAAAAACTTTGATGGACGTTAGGAATTCGATTTCTCGATGAATGAACCGGCTTGCGTGTGCCGCGGTCGTTCGAACCGCATCAATTACGATTGGCTTGAGACCGTGCCGTTTACCGTTTACCAGAAAACCCGGTCGCCGTGTCAACCCCGTTGAAAGTGGAGTAACGTGGCCGAGATTAGCGTCCACCTTTCTCGAACGCACCTTCGACAAGCCTTAATTTCGCATCGACGGACTATTAATAATACGCACGAGACGCGAACGCGTGGGATTCAGAAGGCGATCACTAAGAACACGAGCGGCGGCGCGTCGCTATACCGCATCGGATCGCGACACTCAAACGGCGTGGGCGCGCTGACTCGTGCGTAACGCGGGCGTTCTAGACGCACCGGGCACAAACGCAATCGGGACTTTGTGCAATCGCACCACCACCGCGAACAACCCTGCCGCGAGAAAGCGCCGGTACGTGACAAACCGCGAGCTTACGAAACCCGAGCTGAGTAGCCCGACACCATCAACGAGTCTATAACGCGTGACGTCCCTTGACATTTCATTGGCATTAAAAGCGTGGAATATAGCTGCTGCGGAGTTAGGCAGAAATGGCGGCTTTCCAAACCCCCTGGTGGCGGACTGCTTTACGGGGGTGGTTTTGCTGGTCCTCATCGGTTGGGGGTGGTTGGCATCACGGTGGCGCCATCCGTGATCCACGTTTTGCAACCCCACTCAGCCAGCCGTGATATTGGTATCAGTTGTGAAAGCAGCGAACCGAATAATGCGTGAATTCGTAACTTTGATTTTCTCGGTATTATGAGTTTGCGTTGATGCGCTCATTTCGTGTAACGATCTCCATACATTCATAAAGAACTAAACGCTAATCGATCATTTTAAATCGATAGAATTCTTGCTGCAATATCGTAAGAATAATGGAAAGATTTTTTTCAAAGTTCTACTTGGACAAAAAGAAACCTGAGAGGTATAAAAGTGTAGTATATAAATTTTCGTACTTTTGCACACGAGATTATCTCTCGCAGTTTTTCGAGTCTCTCGTTGAGTCTCTCACCCTCCTTTCACCTGTTAAGATAAGGGTTTTGAAAAGAATTGATAGGGTAGCTTCGTTTTATCGCTTGCCATAAGAAGTTCATGATGTCGCGAGGGTTTTTTTTATCTTTTGTCCAGATCAAGAGACATATATACTTATGATATTTAAAGCAAATTTTACGCAGAATTATAATTGTATTTATAAATAATGTTTTGAAATTTTTTAATACTCAAATATTTTTACCATCTTTATTGTTTAAAGATTTAATATTAAAATAATAGCAATATAGAATTTTTTGTCTATTCTATGAGAATGTGAAAGATGTTTTGCGATAGATTTGAGATAATATCATGTATAGAAATTTAAGTAATTTTCTTTGGGACTCGTAATAAATCATAATAAATGATAAAGCATGTTTCTCTTCAACAGTTAAAGAGCAAATGTATGTTAGTACATCCTCTACAGATCTGTGTGACCCTTTCAAGATCAGAATGGAGGGTGAGTTACCGTGGATCCACTTGTGAGTTGCAGTCAGAGGGGTATTGTATCGATTTTCTCTTTTCTCTACGCAACCCCTCTGACAATTACATTACGGTTGTCCTAGCAAAATGCTGCTCGCACTTCTTATCTTTAAAACAATTGTTTTAATGATGAATAGTAGAAATTTTAATGTAAAATATAAATTTGTTAGATTAAAGATTATTTATTTTTAAAAGAATTGAATTAGTTTTTAAGAGCGATACACATAAAATAATTAAGAAATTTATCTTTCTGAGATAGTATTGATTTAGTTTTATAAAAAGAAGCACCACACAAAGAAAAATATATTGCTTGAATTAATTTCAATGGAATAAGCGCACAAGGGTTTACAAGGATCGTGAAATCAAAGCAATTACGGACAAAGATAAATTCTTTATCTGTAAAACTCTTTCATCCGCTTTAAGAGTCTTATAAATTCCGAGTCTTATTGTAGAATTTATAGATTCGAGTTAAGAGAGATCAATAAAAGAAACAGCAACAAATATAAGTTGTCTTTTAAGTAATCTTTCATAACTGTACAGAGATCCAGTTGCGTGTAACACACGCAAAAGAAATAATTGCAAAATACTCTGATATTATCATCAGTTAATTCAATCGCACGGATATTTGCGACGCGTACAATTTGATCTTATACGGTGAGTGTTATATAAGTGTATTGAATCATATTTCAAAGTAAAATTATATCAGATATATTCTACATTACTCGATTTGATCTCAATTAAAAAGTCGAATTATTTCGTGAAATGCAATATGTCACATGACATATTGTTATCAATAAATTTTTTTGTAAAAAAACTTTTCTGTCATATTAATGATTATCTTTTTATAGATTATTTTCTAAAAGACGCGCGTATGTTTCTAGAGCACATAAAAATATCTGGGACTACGGCAAAGTTTGGGAACTAATAATATATAAATTGATTTAAAGACTATCCGGAATATCGACTGAAAAGGAGCATTTATAAACGGTTGAACTTTTGAACTTGTGACCCGTTGCATTTTAGCTTTACTATTCTGGTTAGGCTTTCTCGACTACAAGAGAGATAGACAAGTGTTGCACGGCATAAATTATTCGCGTATTTCCTCTAGTCGCAACGAGTCTCGCGCTATTTCAAAATATATTTTGTATCTGGTCAAACGAGTTCCGACGCCGGGCGAAACACATTGAAACATTTATGCGCTTTCCGACTGCAATATATTCGTCGAAGCTGCGCGTCCCAAAAGGATCGACGTTACAAACGTCGACCATATTTTTTGATCAATTTAATTTCAGCGCACGTAGTTTTGGTGGCGTGTCTTAAACATCTTCCGCTTTGAATAAATTAAATACGCGGACTATAAATAACAAAAGCAATTGAGATGTTGATTAAACTACGACAAAGATTACAAATCCGATAAACTTTCCTCCGCCCAAATCAATACCTATCTTTAGATTTTCCGAAGTTGAATTTGCATCACGCGCGCGGCCAAGTCACGAACAGCATTAATTCACGAATTTTGAATGGATGTGAAATTTATAGACACGCAAGAATCAAGGGGGCACTATTTCAAACATTTTCGTAAACAGCATTTATATTTAACCAAAGTTTATCAAGTTTGAATAATACAAGAGTCATGAGAATCGGTTGAGCGGAACACAATTTAAGCGAGTATTCCAAATATATCGTGCGACCGACATATATTTTCCCGTATAACCGTATATAAATGCACATTATCCGTGATATTTAATTTATTATATTTAAAATGTTTACTTTCATGTACTTTCATATTTAAAATAATTCTTTTTAAAAACTACGTCAACTAATCAATAAAATTTATTTTACGTTTCTTATTGATTTATTTTTGTTTTTATTAGCAATTACTTTTTTATTAGTTTTATCAGATTTGATTTTTTTATATAATAAATTTTACATAAATATATCTAACATGGACATACATATTACAATATTTACATGCGATAAAAGTTCAATAAAATTTAATAAAATAACTCATGTTACACATACCTGAATCGCATGTCTTTCTTGTGGCGTTTCTTAACGGAACTTTGGCATCCGTTTCTGTAAGATCGACGGATTCGTTTTGCCTAGAGGCCCTGGACATGGGCTCCAGCTGGATAGTTTCGCTGTCCTTTCCTGGACTTCCTTTCATCATTTTATTTCCACTTTTCTTTCTTTTCTATTTGGTTGATCTTTTATTCAGCAAAATCAGAGCTATATATGGAAAAAATGCCTTCCGCTATTTTTCGATGTGCTCTGTTTGCCAAGCGACATATTTCAGGCTTATTACTGATCGGCAATACGCTTGTAATTGCTCCTATCACACATTTAAGAAAATAAACATAGAAATCGCAGATCTTTTGCCAGCTTTAGATTCTTTTGTCTTTACGAGAGTATCGATCGCTCCTTTCTTGTGCAGGATGTAATATGCTTATGTCGAAAATTATATCAAGCTACTCTTGATAATGTAATTTAGTTAAGGCTGTACATCGGCACAGTATTTTTGTATATGTATTTTATATCGATAGCATTTGCGTTGGTCCCAATATTGAGATATGTTATGTTTGCATAATCAGCTTTCGATTAGTATAAGAGATTTCATATAAAAATGGTCGGCGAACGTGGTTTGGCAAGCACGACTAAACCTATTTATTTTTGAGGTAGTGCACACCAATTAATAAGATTTCATGGTACTTTAAATACTTTCTTAGTACTCCAACTTGTACTGATTTGAAAATATTTATTTCTGAGGCTAAATTCGGCTACTTTCTCTGTTAATCAAGTGGATGCGTTTTTATATGATGCGATGTGGAATAATTATAATAACTCGCGATAAGGTGTACTTTTAAAAATTGTAGACAGTTAATCAGTCTTCTCTTCCACATCTCATATTGTTAATTAACTTGGAATATGATGATAAAATATTTCTCTTTGGAAAAAGTAGCTACGCGTCCAAGCGATGTGCATCTGCAACATAATTGAGTGCTTTGTGTAATTACAATTCTCTTAATTGCGAGAAATAAAGTTGTTTCGAAAAATATATTAATATAGGATACATAAAAGTTATTTTTGCCGAGCTTCATTGTTGGATCAATACTGCCAGTATAAATATCTCTTTATATCAGGGACTAAAAAAGGAGGAAGTATATTTATAATAAAACATTTTATAAAATGTCTCTTCGGAATCTTGACGAATTCCGTCTATATAAAATAACGTTTTAAAAAAAATATATTACGCAAATATTTAACATTAAAAGTATTGTACGTAATTAAATATTGATACGAAATAATTATCTGTCATAAAATTTTTATTCAAGCAAAATTAAGATAATTTTATAACAGTTTGTAATTCTTTTTTGGATATTTGAATGATTACGTTATTGCAAGTTATGTTTTTTATAAACTTCAAAATTATAGAATTTGTACTAACAATAAGTAATAATATAATTCATTCGCATGAGTGATGTAAAAATATGTGTAAAAATATGTATGCAAATGAAGAACGACAACAAAGAGTAAGAACTTGAAGCTATTAAGTGTTAGATAAACATATGGTACTGTATTGGTAGTCAAGGCCTGTATGCGAACCATAAAAGCAATTATACTTTGAGTTATGTCAACTATTGTGGACACCGCCTATGCAATGATAATGGTTGTTAAATGATATATAACGTGCGCGGTTTTGTGCCAAGAAATTTTTGTGCGTTGTTACGTACGATGGATTGCGCAATAGTACGTTTTGACTCTATTTAAAAAAGTTAGGAACAAATTATTTTTGGAGCAATTTATTTAAAGAATAAATAACATTAATAAATAAATTTTACAAATTTGCAGCCATTATTTATATAAATTACTTATTTTTCGAAATTAAATTTACACTTTTAATAAATATTTTATTTAGAGCTTTATACTGTTATTTGGTTGTCATAAAATATATTTAATAAAGTCCGGAAAATAAATTAATATTGAGGGAAATTGAACAGAAATATGTACAATTTTATTGAAGATTGAATACGCAAATGCAAACGCACGTGTGTATGTGCGTTTAAAAGTATGCGATATGTGAAAAGAGAGTATTTCGTGATGGAACATTGATCTCCGGTTCTCTGGCGAATTTTGCGTTTCTCTCACATGCGTAATTGCGATTAAATATTTAACTATTATTTTGCAAAAAGAAAACACTTACCTTTCTCTGATTATACTCAACATCCGGCATCCGTTTGTTGAGAAAAAAATTCCCGCCGATCGCTTTGTTGGTTGCAACTAATCGCAGACCGTCGCTAATCACACAGCTATGAAAAACTGATCACTCATCCTTTATCAACGTACGCAGTTCTCTTTCATTCGCGGTTCCGACGCGCCGATTGTTCTCTCTTTTCTCGACAGCATCCGCACATTTTCGACGCCGCGTTGCCGTTCGTAATACGCACAAAATCAATCACATTAAGCTCGCGACCGCTGTATCGTCAGGACTAAAGTTTCATCACGATAACTCGGAAAGCCGGTACGCACATCACACCACCCTCGGAGCTTGCGTCGTGACGCTCCGCGCGCGGTCTGTCTCTCGCTGTACCGACGATATACCTGCATCCGACGCGCATCGCCGCCGACGACGATTCGCACGACGCGTTACGGGGTTTTCCTCGACGTGAGGCTGACGACGCAAACAGTCGCACGGTGGGAATGGCACTGAGTGGAAGCGCTTTGAGGATTGAGCGTGGCTGAATTTCCGGACGCAGGGAGGCGCGCCGGTCAGGATCAGCCACAGGTTGCGCCCGTCTCGTTCACGCAGGGTGGGCATCTTGGCTGATCGTCGGGTGGCGAGGGTAGTAGTGGTGGCGGCGTATGCACTCGAACGGGGGAGAAAGCCGGAGAGAAAGAGGGAGAGAAACGAGAGAAATCGATTTACTTAACATCTCGAACTCTTTGGCCCTTCGCGACCGAGAGCCGAAAGGGATGGCTTACTAGCGATCGCGATAGCATGTAGCTGCGACACGGTCGAATCCACTCATAGATTCCGTTCGACGTGTGTAACCGAGCGATGCCAATATGCATCTCGCATGGCATGGTTGCATTAAAATTCTAAACTTTAATTTCAATCGAGATTGTGTAGTTTTCAAGGCGTTATCGGCAGGAATAAAAATTTGTTAACAACTACATTATTTTACACTTGCATATATTTATTACATACAAAAAATATTTCTGTAATAGAGATTATTCATAATTGTTTAATAATAATATTTATGTTTAAGATTTTTATAGATATTATATTAAACAAAAATTAATATATTTGGTAGAAATAAATTTTTTTCAATTTGGTAACATTAAAATTTTATTAAGAAAGAACTAAATAGGCTTTATTATCAAAATATTTTCCATTATTATTGATAATTTTACGTTATCTTTCAGGCAGTTTGCGAATAACATCGCGATAAAAACTTGGTAACTTTGAAGCAATGAAGTTAAAAGGAATTAATTTCTACACTTAAAACTTTCTATTTTATTAATATAATTTTAAATTAGTTTTTTATTTGAAATGATAACTACACGGTGCACAGATGGTGACGTTATATATTACACTTTCCCAACAGAAGGAAAGTTGCTATAAAAATTTATAGCGGCCATATTTATATTGAAAATATAAACATTTTACGATTTCTTTCGTGGCGGCACAATTTTTTTCTCGTGTACTGCAAGAAAATAAAAAAAATATTACAAGCTGTACGACACGCTATTATTAGACATGCCAGAAAGTAAACAACTTTTTTGTGCAATCTCTGAGGTTAATTATTGTTTGCATATTGTTTTAAAGATATAACTTAAAATTTGACTTATTAATTAAAAGTTGTTTTATTTAATCATAAATGTTTGACTAATTAAATTTGATTTTAAATGAATCAAATTTGTGTAATGGAAAGATATGTAGAATGGAAGAATAATGCATATCAGTGTGTATTACATAAATTTTTCTTGTAAACATTTTGACTTTGATATTGGATTTCTCGTGTGATAAGTACGTGATATGATATCTATAATTTGATAAAGATGTAGCGTTCTACTTCATCTGGCGTTCTTCATCTAGCAAATGTTCCTCGTGCGATAACGTCACAATAACGCACGATAGCTTTTGCGAAAGTACCTATTATAAATAGTGTAATTAAAACAAAATGCATGGCGTAAGTATTGATAACGCAGTTTAGGATCTTGTATTTCGCATTTATCTTCGTCATAATCGTAATTATTATAATTACCAAAACCACGTAGATGTCATTTCATGGCGGCGTTACGGAAACTATTTTATTTTCCGGCTGGCGCATAAGTGATACATCAGGATTAATTGGTTCTATAGTCGGCATCATTCTTCTAACTGCATTGTATGAAGGATTAAAATCTTATCGGTAAGCAAATACGTATTATTTACAAGTAATTACACAATACGTGACACAATATATGTACGTTGCAGTGAACATCTTTTTGCAAGCACGACATTTTTAAGAAGAAACCAGCCGCAGAAATCCAGAAAGTATGTGTAAATGATATTTATTATATCTGCAATGAGTGTCATACTATTTATTATAATATTTATCGTTACAGCGCATTGTTGTTCTCTGGAATACATTTGTTTCAAACGCTTTTGCACGTAATCCAACTGGTGCTTGGTTATTTCCTTATGTTTATTTTTATGACGTACAACTATTGGCTCTGCATCGCTATCGCAGCTGGAACAGCTCTCGGTTATTGGCTATTTGCGTGGAACAAAGTTAATAATGAAAATACAGTCTGTTGTTCGTAAATATACGTATATTTAAAGAATTGAAGGTATTGCATTTTCACTAATAAATCACACCGATTAATACATTTCTCTATATTGTATGTGTGCGTGTGTGTAGGAAATCAATTTTAACAATACGTTACATTATTATGGTATTTCTGTATATATATATATATCTCTTTGTATATATTTATGTAAATTATGTGTTTTGTGATTGATCGATACAATGATGTTTTATGTAATTAACACGTGATGTCTGATGCTAAAAGATATCCAGCATAACAACAGCTTATTGAGAAATTAATTATTCGTCATGATATTAAAAATTCTAAATTAATAGTCTGTGATTTATTTTTGCATTTTAATAAATAAATTCGCACAATATAATCTGAACCTTTTATAATCTGAAGCATAATTAAAAATTATTGATAAGCATAATCTAATCGAATGCAACTTATCTTTTTTTATTCGAGATTTAAAGTTTATTTCCTCAATGCTGTTTATCAGATAAGCATAAATCAGTTATAGATGTCAAATATTTTGTCATTTATCGAATAGCACGAAGACGTATGACATGATGTCGAGTAATCAGAGTAACGCAACAATCTATAGCTCACAATCTAGTGACCGTATACATCAATTCGATTCAATGCGTCACATCATTTTCGGATGGAATACATTCAATTCCATAATGTGGTTTCTGCTATTAATATTATTTTGTTTTTGGTGCATAGTATTTTTTAATTTTTATAAACCGGGACCGGAACATGATCATCATTAAAATGAGTGAAAAAGATAATCGAAATAATCGTTACAAGAACAATAGAAAAAATGTGAGTATTTATGCTATTATTTTTTAATAAGAAATCTGTTTACAAAAGATAACAATGCTATGGATACATGACATTATTCAGCACGCCGATTTATTTAAGTTTACTCGCTTTTTAATTTTTATTTTAATCTTTAATAAAAATAGCTAACATATGAAAACCGTTGATATTAGAAACGTCTCAGATCCTTTACTTGTCTTTCTTTTTTTTTGTATTGATTTTTTGGATGCTGATTAATGAAAATATTAAGAAAGTTAATTAATTTAACAATGCAAGAGTAATACTAATTACTTTTTTGGTTTACATATTGGCTTACACTGTTTTTCTCGAGTCAAAATAATTGCTTTTATTAGTTTCTTAAGACATTTAGAGAAATAGGAAAAAAATTACTACATTGAAATTAATATCATTATTTTTTTTCGTTGTGTACATATAAGAGCTAGAAGAATCAAAATTGGAGTTTCTCTGAGTTCTGAGAGAATGTCACGTATCTTATTATCTTATTAATAAACTGATACGATCAAACGATAACTGATACAGTAATATCTTTTTAAAGATTTTATTAATTTAATTAATTAATACCTTTTATCTTTATAATTTGTTTAAATGTTAAACAGATACAAAGCTGAATCGGTTCATCATTTTACAAAATTGATGAATAATGTCATAAATTTTAAGATGAATAATTAATTAAATTACGATTTAAATAATCGAGAGAAAAAAATAATTATTCTAAAAATATATCTATGGAAAAGTATATTATTTTTCAAAAATTTGTGCACATAATTTTAATAGAAGTTAAATGAACAAAATTCTATTGTTTTAATCTACATTTTTCTAGTGTGTCGCATTCTTTATGATAAGACGTCAAAATATGTTGACTCTGTATTAAGATAAATTTTCAGAATCAAGGCAGTTAATATCTTTGATAAGACAAAAAAAGAAAAAGAATTGGAGAATAAAAAATATGTTTACTAGATGTTACGTGAATTTCTCTCTTAAAGAAATGTAATACATACACGGTGTCCCATTTTAAATGATCCACGCAAATATCTCAGAAACACCGCATTAAATCGAAAAACGTTTCAAATAAAAGTTGTAGGATTTGGAGGGGAAAAAAAGATAGGGATATTAATTTGATCTTGGATGGAGGCGCTTCCACCCAAGATCAAACTAATGTCCCTATCTTTTTTTCCTCTCCAAATCCTACAACTTTTATTTGAAATGTTTTTCGATTTAATGCGGTGTTTCTGAGATATTTAAGTGGATTATTAAAAATGGAACACCTTGTATGTTATTGATATACTTACATTTAGAAACAAGCTACTTCGTATTCGTTTACGATACCATTTTTCTATTTTAAAAGCACAAAAAATTACATTTGGGAATTGCAGGTCTCAAGACGAACTCCATAGCCTACGCCCATTTCGTTTGAAGCACGCACGACTTCACCGGAAATAGAACGTGTTTGATGTGAAGAAAAAGTACGATATTAGAGTAATGTAATTTACAGATATTCTGACGTCTGCTAAAAATATGAATATTATTCTAGACTTATTTAATCTAAATGGATAACAGAAAATAGTTGTTCTTTTTTTATTTTCTAATTAATTAATTAACGTAAGCGTATTTTATGTATTAGGTTTTCTTGGTATATTTTTATTATTTAAATTTTATATATTTCCTTCTGTATACGCTGATTTAATGTATGCAATTAGGTGATTTACACTGAGTGTGGCGATAAGTGCACGAAACATGCGTCACGTGTGATTTATATACAAGGGACAGACACGATTAAATCTTGATGTGGACAGAATGATGTAAGACGATGTTTCTCTGAATATGTATCAAGTATTGCGGTCTGTTAATCTCTCTTATCGAACATCAGTTACAGCAACGAGGTGATAGCTGAGGTTACTTCAAAGCATGTTAGGTAGGACGCGCGAGGAACTTCCGGCGATCGATCTTCAGTAAAAGCAGGCTTTTATTGTCTCTTAGAAGTTACATTGAATCCTCGTGATTCAAGGGTTTACGCGCGTCCTTTTGTTCCAAACGTTTGTTTTTTCTCTCTTCCCGCGACACGCCCTCACTTTTATTGCAGCTAGCAGCCTTAGGCAGCCTTTGTGCATTAGGTCTTTTGAACTCAATAATCCATGCAGATTGCAACTCAGCGGCTCGGGGATTTCTCTTTTTTTTGTTGCGACTTACGCCCCTTTCGTTTCCGTTCACCCGGCACTTTTCCCTTCCCATCCATTGTAGGGCGTACACGATAATAGCGAACGTATACCTACGTTCACGTATGACCTTTCAAGGATGCATATCAATGTCAAAATGTCATGATGATCGACAGCCGTTTACCAATAAAATTATCTCCGGCGTACGATGGTCATCCAATTAGCGTTTCCAGCGATCGCACAGGTTTAGTTGCATTAATAGCGGTCTGTTGGTCTTAAAGGCGAGCATCTAGTTCTTTTTTCTGAAAGGTGCATCTATGATATATTTTTGCTGTGAAATGTGCACTTTTTGAATTTGTTACGAATTTTGTATGCAAATATGGCAAGATATTTCAAAAGGTATTCCGAGTGTAGTAGCATGAGAGGATATTGCATTTTTTTCTGCAGCGTAATATTCATAAGGAATTATGTATGTGTTAATGAGAGCAATTGCACATAAAACTCGTATAATATGGGGAAATATTCCATAAAATGAAATATTCATGAAAATGGTTGTCTGACTAAATATTGTAGGTATCAGTAAATGAGAGCGACTGATCGATACCGCTGTTGGCTATTATTACATTGTAAAAGAGCTTAGCATTATCATTGAAGTGAGACAGAATTACACATTCAATTTGGAAATCAGCAAAATGAATAATAAAACATAGATTTTCTAAAAGTGGAAATTTGCAGAATTTAAAATCAGAATCTGAATATAAAAGCAAATGTGCATAAATTATGTTGACGTATTTCTAAATTAGTTAATACGCGACATATTTCTAAATTAGTTAATTAGCTTGATTTGCAGTGTCACATTTTGCTGAAATATGTACTTTTTCATAAAAGTTTACCGGATAAAATGCATTACATTTTTTTAGCACAAAAAGATCTGCGTGATGAAAGATGCGTCTCTACGGATTTCTCAATTTATATGTTATAAATCCCGAGTTATGATATACAAAAAGCGAGTAATATTATTTAATATAATAAAAAGACGTTTAATACAATTTACATTTAGATATCAAATATGATATTAATCTTTAACAAAATTTTTGATATGTTAAATAATCATAAAAAAAACTTATTTTTTAAGTTATATTTATTTTTCGTTTTGTACACAATGAACTCGATGCCAGAGCAAGCGAGATAGTATTATCGGCGACGTGCAGCATTTTATTTTTTCCAAAAACGAAATAGAGGCTGGATGGATAGTTATAGCGAATCGTCGCCGAATATCCAGACGCAGCTGAAGCGTACGCGTGTGCGACTGATCGATACTGGCGTTGCTAGCTGGTAAGCTGTATATTCCTCCTTTACGCATCAACCCCTCGGATGAATCGCACCCTTCAGTAGATACCCGAACAGCCCTACAGGACAGCTGAATCTATCCTGGGTGGACCGTACAAAACACTTGCACCCTGTTGCCTAAGTTAGAGTGTAAACTTGATAGACGCAGAAACGGGGATACTTGTTCGTCATGGTAACCAGATATGCATAGAATTTCACCAGGGGATTCTATTGTTACGGAACGTATTTCTGCAGTAAGTTTGATTTATTGATTTTTTAGTTGTAAATATTTTTTAACGTTCCATCAAAAAATTTCCTATTTATTTTAATAAATGATAGAAATAAATAGAAAAAAATAGAATAATAGAAAAAAATATGATAAAAATAATATAGGAGTAGATTCAAACATTATTTGAATAAGATTTTATATTTATCTTAAACTTTAATATTTTTATAAAAATGTAAAAAAATTCATAAGTAAGAAAGCGATTGATAATTAAATTCGACAGTGAGATATTCGAAAGGTACAATGTGCGAAATGCATAAAAGTAAAAAGGGTGTGGAAAATCCATTCTTCATCGACGAACTTTTGCGAAATGATATGTTACTTTCGGCAAATTTCCGGACAGATCAGCCTGGGTATCAACGAATGGTAATTGCTTTGGCTCCAGAATGAATTATGCAAGACCAAACGTGTATTTAAGTTTCAAAATGGAAAATTTTTGGCTATCGTCCAAATTAGGTTCTCCACGTGTTGCATGTTTTAACTAAGATGATGCAGGAAGTCCAGGAAGTTGTGTATACGCGAACATGCATATGCAAGGCATGTAAAGGTGCGATATATCTGGATATAATGTTGCATGTGAAATTAATACCAGATCAAAAAATCATGTGCGGCAGATAAAATCTGCTTAACACTAATCAAACTTTGCATCAAATACGTAATTAAGTTAGACATGCAACAAAACAAAAAGGAATTGTTTAACGGTTCTAAATCGATGATTACCTTTTACACTTAATCATAATATTTTTCTCTTCACTTGCAGTGTGAAAATAGTTTTCACACGCGAGAATCAATATGCTTTATAGAGCTGTTAAAAATAATAATATTTAATAACCTATATTGATTAATTCTGCAATGTTAATATACTTTAGCGAACTATATTTGTACGAGAATCACTGTGAAACTGAGTTAGCGATTCCTTTCGTAGATGGCAACACGGACTTCTTTCTTTTGCACTGTTGCGAAATAAACCGCGAACATGTGCCACGTGCTGGTAAAACTATGCAGTTTTTAAATTGCGTTACGATAATGAATGCATAGATTTATAATAGCTTTCGTGGAAAATATAACATTCATGAGTAGCTTTACATGCCTCGTCTTTCGTGATGTTATTCAAGCCTTTTAAAAATCGAACATTACGTATGTAGCAAAATTGCTAATTTTGAAAATGATAATCGAGTATACTATAACATTATAACAAGGTCATCGTAAAAGGATGACTTGAGCACATCCGGCAATGAAGTTTTATTTTTTTCTTGTGTCTTTCGTTACGTATATATTTTTTCGTTATAAATAGATGCTAATAAATTCACAAGAATGCCGAGCCATGCTGCGTGCCCGACATGCGAAATTCATTTAAATAACAATTGTTGGCAGCAAACGCTATTTTATGAAACGTAAAAATAAAGTGCGCGTTGATCATATATATATGGGATGATGTCAGGCATGCGCGTTAAAAAACGCTTATTCCGCAGATATGATCAGACGTCACATTTTGCGGCAGCCCTGCTGGAATCTGATAAGAAAAGTGCGCAAGTTTAATGAACATTTAAAAATGTAACCGTCTTTTCTAATATACATTTTCGGCTGTATATAATCACGTAATATGTCATCAGCGCATTTCTAAAAACCAATCAAATTACAAAATCATCCATATTAATATTTGCGAAGTTACAATATATTTTAAGCTTTAGCTTATTTAAATGAAATCAAGTTTAGTGTATTAAATACAATCTTTAATAAAAGTTTTGAATAAAATATTGTAATCTCAAAAAATAAAAATTTCAGAACAAATTAATTTTTAATCTTATACGGACAACGTTTATGAGAACAAAGCGAAAAAATGATTTTATTTTTATTTTATATGTATCATCATGATAGCGTGTAGAGAGTCTTTCTCATAAAAAAAAACCAATTTTGTAAAGTCAAGTGCGACCCTTTCTTCAACGAATACTTTTCGGCATTTAATCGAAGCTTGATCGATTCTGTCACCCGATGGATCGTTGCGTAGTCTCGCGTCTGGTCGGTCGCGCGACCTTGGCCTCTGTTAGCACCATATAACGCAAGACACATACGGGCGGGTAATGCTGGACACGCGATCCGATATGTATGTATACGCGCGTTGCAAGGAAATCGCTGCGACACAACCCTTGACACTCGTTCCACGTTCCCGTTTTAAAGCGCGGGCGAGCGGCAGCGTAGCACCGCCATGAGTTTATGCTCGCCCAAGGCGCTTGCAGCACGGTGGTTGCAATTTGCACCTACAGATTGCAAACTAACTCTTAAATTTCTCAATGCTGACGTCTTTCTTAACGGCGATTTTCGTCACGGGCACGCGGAGCGATATCAGACACGAACTTAGCCACGGCGTCCTAGATCGACGCCCGTGCAAGCAGGTCTGAAATTACGTGGGAAATTACGGTGCGACGGGTGCGCAGTATCAGATCTCTGTCCGTTATTTTCTTTGTTGTTGTATTAACCACTCGCGTACCCCCGCAATACTTGTGCATGACGGAAACATTTCGCTGTACAAGAAACGCGAGCATGTTAGCCGCGAATCATGACCTCCGCGTTTACCTTGTCGCTACTTTTTTTTTGTGTTTTGCTTTGTTTTGTGTTTTCCTTCTTGTCGGCGATATGCTGGAAACCGTGATATTTAGTTACGCCTTTTCACTGTTTCCTACATCAGATGTAAGCGATAAAAAATTATAATTGCTCTATAAATTATAAGTTCTAATCTGATGCGTAATAGAATTGTTATGGAACATTACTGCAACTCGAATATTGCTACGAATATAAGAATTAGGTGTTATTAGATATGAGATAAATTCCTTGAAGAAAATAATAATTCAAGTATCAAGATTCTCTTGATGATAGTCGCTTATGAAATAACGAGAGAAAATAAACTGTTAAAAATTTTCATACAAAAAGAGACATAATAAAAACTCTATTTTGAACTTATGACTTTACATTAATTTTTTTAAAAGTCTGAATAAATATTTATTATTTACTTTATTGGCGTTAAACAACTAAAAACATAATTATTCGCGAGGAGTTTTTGTTTTATTAAAATGTTTCAACTTCTAACAATAAGCTGTTCAAGTGCGAATAAGATTAGGAATAGCAGTCAGTCGAAGGGTGCACAATAATAAAAAATTTTATGGTATAACCGCGTGCTAAATCTTCGAATTTCATGTTCAAGATTTTCGTGGTAGCGTCACTTCCTATCCGCGTGAGCAAGTTCTGACCCATTTCACGAAGAAAGAAGCCAGGTCGGGCCTCTATCGGCTGTCCATCTGGTTGGCGTGTGACCTTTCGCATCCCTTCGTTACCTTCGCCGTGCGCGAATAACGAATAAACGAGGAACAGTTTGGCTGAGAGTAGCATTTCGATAGAAGCAGTATCCGATATCAAATAACCGGATATAGGAAAGTGATAAATGCCTTGGCAAATAAAGTCAAAGTTTACACTTTTACATACTTATATACACACATATCTACAGACGTGCTTTCAATATTGTAGATAACGATTTTGAATTCCGTTGACTACTATTAAAACACATTTAATTTAAATATAAGATAAATTTAAGAAAACTACATTATGACGTTATTTCACTACTACAGCAAAATATAACTAGCATGTAACATACGAATCAGTGTAAACGAGACATAAATATGTTTTTTAGAACTTTAAAAATTTTCATATGCTAAGTATTTTTTATAAATATCAGTACACGAAGTTGATTTAAAATATATGAATTACTTTGAATTTATCAGAAGTAACAATCGATTGTGTAATACGCGCTAATTTAGTTATATTGGTTAATTGGTTAATTGCCAATAATACGAAGCAATGCGCCGCCCTTAAACATGGCTCTCTTTCTCTCTCTCTCTCTCTCTCTCTCTCTCTCTCTCTCTCTCTCTCTCACGTTCAGCAATTTTGCAATGCCCATTGTCTTTGCTTTATTTTTGCACTATGTTACTGTGATCGATCGATACCATCTCGATGTGAGTAGCAATTACATAACTAATTGAAATTCCTTGTTCCTAGCGTGTGAATGTACCCTTGCGCCGTCATTTGAAACACTCTGATTAGGTATTCAGTATAGTATGAAATCCATATTACTCAATCCAATTTTGATGCATGACTTGCTTAATAGCTTTTATGTATTACTGTTTATATATAGCTGTTATATATTACAAATTAAGAAATGTATATTAATAAATTCAGTTATATTGATTCTTTTATATAATTTGATTAGCTAGTTATATTTTAATTAACAATGCATATAATAAACTAAAAATACTGTACTGTTGCATTTTCTATAAAGATGTATAATAATTGAAAATGTATTAAATTAATTAGATAACAATTAATAATTAAATTGGAAAGAATAGTAATTTGTTTAGGCAGTTAAGCATTAGTCAACAAAGTATTATGATGAAGTCAGCAGTTTATTACACTACGATTATTAGAAATAATTTTCTTTAATCTGATTTCATTTCTGTGTCACATAGTGCAGGTGGTAATTTTGCTTAGGTCATACAAATGGAGATTGTAGGTGTGGAAGGATTCAAAAGATCACGAGTTCGTTCGCTATTGAAATAGTAATGTCTACGATACACGAAACTATGTGCGCTATATGAAACAAATTTTATTTTGCAAAATCTTTTTTTTCCTTTTACTCTCTTCTTCACGGTAACAATTTTTCAGTATTGTTAGTTTCAGTATTGTTAGTTAGGAAATAAATGCAATAATTGACTGTTTTAAACAATTTTTATAACTAACAGTTTTATAACTAACAGTATCGAAAACAGTGCACGCGGAGGATCTAGAAAGTGCAAAAATCTAGGACGTGCTGTATAACATGCACGATTTTTTTCACTTGATTTCCATCAGACAAAGAAAGCGTTACGCTCGTTAGCAATTCGTGGCAAAAGCTTCACCTTCACTGGCAATCGTCAATCTTAAGATCCTTGATAAAGGAACGTTAATTTGTAGAAATGCCGTCGTATCTGCATTGGCGAGACGCATAATGTTCAATAACTACTGTAGCAGCATTGAATAGATACCGAATTGCTTATTATGCAAGGAACAAAAGCTCTGACACGTAAACTACATGGCCACACTATGACCACCTGATGATTTAGTACTTGATGACATGTAAATGGAACTATGAATCGAGATTGACGTTTAGATTATGCAAATTACACATGGCGTTTGCCGACAATTTTAGCGCGTAGCTAAAAATGCGAATCGATTAGATCTGGAATCCAATATCCAATTTCCAGCAGTTGATCGAACAGGCGAACTCGCATGCGACGAAAGTGAAAATAATATTCAAACAATACGAGTCGAAAACATATCAAAAGGACGTCTAAAAATGCTTTAATCTCTCAGACATCATGACGACTGAATGTCCTTTAAATGTTATATTTTTTGCTACTTAGCGTTCTCTGATAAGGTTCTTAAAGGTAACTCTTTCTGCTGCGAGTAACTTTAAAATAATAATACCTCATTATACGTCTTGCTTCTTACATTTATCTTGCCTTATATTTTTGAAGAATATTATTAATCGCTACTGCAAAGCATTTATTAAATATAAAAAGATTTTTAAACTTAAAACAAATTTTTAAACTTGAAAAGAAACTCACTTTAGTCGCGCTATTTACCTCAGAAACGATAAAATTGAAATTCTAAAACATGATAAATTAGGTAGAAGATTGTCAATGCTGTATACCTATTTGAAACTTTGCATTACAAAGCATTTTTAACACCCTAAAAAGTGTTAAATTAAAACAGAGAGAAAATGTTTTACATCCCTGTTATAACACATTGTTTATTTTCTTTTATGCAAAGTCTATGCTACCAGTCTGATAAGGGCTCTACGCCTGGTCGATCGTACGAAGGATATATACCCGAGTAGTATGCCTTGACCTCTCTTTTCCCTCTGTTATGACGTCACTATACCTTGAATCCAACGGCGACGTCATCAAAAGCTTACTCTAAGAGCATTGCTCGCTCAGTAGAAACGATCTTAATGAGTGCGGCCGTACTGGCTCGCGTGTCGGTTATTTCGTCCTCTTATCACGCGCCCGACGGAACCCTAAATACGCAGTTTTTCTTTAATCAATCTCGGCGGCCGGAAATGGTGGTATTCAAATCACACGCTGCCCACGTGTAGCCCCATTTATGTCTGTCCATATCGCGCCTATTATATCATAACATAATTGCATTTACCTGTAGACTTGACTGCTTGATCACGAATTACTGTAATCCGATTAATGGAATGGAAAATAGCACAAAATGCATCAATCGATAATATTATATGAGGAAAATATTTTTTGTAATTTATTCTTAACTCTTTTCACAATATTTATTATAAAATACTTGAAAATTTGATGGATGTACTTGCTCTCAAAATTTAAATAAGTTTACAAGAAAATATAAAAAGTACAATTAAAAACAGCTCCGTAGGCACGCCGTTAATTACACTACCTGCAAGAAAAGTACAATATAATTAATTATTCTGTTTAATTCGATAATACTAAATAGGAAGGTTGAAAATAAAATAATCGATGATATAAATAGCTCCCGCTGTTTGATAAAACGTTGCTCGGAAGGTGTGAGTTATTTCCAATGTCATCGATTGTTACGCGATAATGGAATTCATGCCAGTAATAAACTGAATTCTTAGACTATTCGAGAAATATCGATGTTTGGCAGGACGCCGTTTTCCATGAAAACGCGCAAAAGGTCTGTTCCAGATGAGTTATGTCGTTGCAGGCGTGCTTTATCGACACTTTTAATCGCAGAAATTGCAACACAGAACTTTCGAACTAGCATGCGAATTTGCGACCCGTAATTACGGACATAGTATTTCTCCATATAAAAGAGTTTTATATGCGCACTTGAAAAAGGTGCCCGTTAATATGCCTGGCATGCCCTTGCTTTCATATGTATACGGAAATAAAATGCAGCGAAATTTTTCGATCAACTGATAAAGTCAGAACTACTTGCCGTTTGACAAAAAAGGGGATTGCGTATCTCTCACGCAGGTACTGTTGTCAAATTTCATGTAACCCGAATCACATGCGCATTTTCCCTTCTTGCAGACTATTATTCCTTGATTTACGGTTTCGTAACATTCACCCAGATTTGCGCAAGTTTCACCAAGAACTGAAAGAATATATATCTAAGTGTCTTAATATAATTTACTTTTACGAAAAAATCGTATAAATCATTTTTTATCTTACATTTTTTCTTAAAACATTTTCCGAATTTGTAGTGGTTTTCTTTGCTACAAGTACAAGTTTTGTTTTCTGCTGTTTTTGGCAATTCTATTGTATCTGTGATATTGTTTTTGCTCGCACAAATCGCGTCCGTTACATTGACAGAGCACTGAATATCCAGTGAACATGATTCGCCGAACGATAATACTAAATATTATATGTTAGAACATATATAGAATATCTATAAACTTATCTTTATACATTTATACATTAAAAAGATAATAATGTAAAAAATTTTTGCAATACTTTATTTAAAAGTGAAATGCAAATTCTTACTTGGTACGCACGAGTCGGTAT